TCCATGAGAACACTGGGGAAAGGGGGTCCTATCTGTCGCCTCGAGGGTACTTTTTTTTAAGTCCTCACCTGAGGGTGTTTTTCTACTTATTATCAGATAGAGTGGGAGGGAGGGAGGGAGAGAGAGACAGAGAGAAACATCGACGTGAGAGGGACACACCAACTGGCTGCCTCCCGCACGACCTCTCCAGGGCCGGGGACACACTGCAACCAAAGTACAGCCCTTCGCGGGAATCAAACCCGCGACTCAGTGGTCCACAGGCCGACGCTCTAACTTCTTGATCTCCCGGTTCCGTTCTCCGGTCTTGAAGCAGCAGCTCCGGAGGTCCCAGTAGAAGATCCCGGCACATCGGCCCCGGAGGTCACTTTAATTGTGCTCGGTGGCCCAAGGGTTCATTAAAGAGCCAGACACAGTGGGTCCAGGGGAGGGACGGTGGACAGCCACCCCCCCGAATCCTCCTTATCTCTGCCGGGGGGACACTTTGATCCTGGATGAGCCCATTTACACGATGTCCTCCATGGCGTCTCCCTCTTTCTCTGCCTGCCCTGCCCCGTGGTCCCTGGAGGCGGCCACCCACTCACCCGTTTAAGCTCCTCTCCACCTCTGACCGTTCAGGGCCCCCAGCTGTGCCCTGGGCCTCAGACCCACACCCAGTGCCGCCCACGCTGACCGTCCCCACCGGGTTCCCAGAGACCCTGCAGCACAGCCGTCCACGCTGCCTTTGCCTGTCCTCCAGCAGCAGCCCCGCCGGCCTCTCCATGTTTGCCCCGCTGGCCGACGTCAGCTGCCCGCCCAGGTCAGAGCCGTGCTCATTCCTGACCCTCCGCTGCGTCCACCCTGCGCCCCTCGGACGCTGCTGCCTTTCCATCGGAGCCTCGGGTGCCTCTCTCCGGATCGGCCACTTTGCTCAGCCACGGCCACGCCCTCAGGTCACTGGCCACGCCCTCAGGTCACTGGCCACGCCCTCAGGTCACTGGCCACACCTCCTGTCTTCCGGTTTCCCTGCTCCGGCCCGGTGAGCGGCGCCTCCTGCTGCTCGGAGCGCAGGCACGGGGTGCTCTATGAAGATGAGATGGTTTCCGGAGCCCTCAGACCCCCCGGGGGGCAGGACAGCCCCGGGGTCAGAGGTGCGGGCTTGCGGCCACAGCGAGGGGCCACGCTCTGAGCTCCCTGCTTGCTCCCTGTGTGACCCTGGGCACCTGGCTCGCCTGCTCTGCGCTCCGCGTTCCTCCCCGTCACGTGGGGATGGGAGCAGTCGCCCCCAAGGCCGTCAGAGGCTCAAGGGATGTGTGCGAAGTGCTGAGTCATCGTCCTTCATTGGTCCCCCAGCATTACGGGCCGACTGGTCTCCGGCTCTACATCACACTGCCCCGTTCCTGTCCTGACGCGGACTTTCTGTGGCTTTGTGAACCCTCACCCGAGGATGTTCCCACCGATTTTCAGAGAGAGTGGGAAGGAGGGAGGGAGAGAGAGAAACATCGATGTGAGAGAGACACATCAACTGGTTGCCTCCCGCAGGACCCCAGCCGGGGCCGGGGATGAACCTGCAACCCAGGCATGTGCCCTTGATTCAGAATTGAACCCACGGCCCTTGGGGCGCAGGCCGATGCTTTAACCGCCGAGCCACACAGCCAGGGCCTGACTGTAACTTGCTGTGTGACTGCGGGAAGCTACTCGGCCTGTCTCAGGCTCTTCCTGGGCAAAGCAGGGCTGCCCGGCCGTGTGGCTCAGTGGTGGAGGTCGACCCTGCACCAAGAGGTCACCGGTTTGATTCCCGGTCAGGACACATGCCCAGGTTGTGGGCCCGATCCCCAGCGGGGGGCGTGCAGGAGGCAGCCAGGCGATGTTCTCGCTCATCGATGTTTCTCTCTCTCTCCCTCTCCCTTCCTCTTTAAAACCAATAAAGAAAAAAATTTAAAAAGAAGAAAAGCAGGGCTGACGAGGGTACTGACCTGAGGTCATCTCGCTGTGACCGTCCTCATCACTGTCACTGCTCCGAGGCCCCTGCCGGGCGCTGGGTGTGGTCCAGGCGCCTGGGGCTTCTCAGGAAGGTCCTCTGCTCTGGTCTACACTCCCTGCAGGCAGAGGAGGGGCCTGGCCCGAAACCCCGGGGCAGAACTCTGCTCTCACCACGGACATGACCTTGCCAGTTCCCGGGCCGGGCGTGGCATCACACGGGGGTTTCCTGCCCTCTGCGCGTTGGGAGGCACCCCCGGGAGGCCGCTCGTCTCATGACAGAGATGGTCCCTGTGAGGCTGTCGTGTGCAGCCCGTCCAGGCCGTGACCTTCCCTGGCCCAGGACAAAGCGCCTGTTCTGTTCTGAGCCCGGCGTGGAGCGGGTGAGCCGCTGGGCACCCCGTGAAGTGGGCCGAGTGGGTGTGGGTGACCTTGGACAACCACCCAGAGAGACTTCCGTTTGCCATGATTCTGAGAAACGTCCACACTGGTCTCCGCCTCCATGAGGACCCTCGACGACCTTCTAACTCTTAAGTCTCGAGGTAGCTCCTGAAATCCACGGACCTCCACCGTGTGCAGCCGGGTGGGACTCCGGCTCCTACAGCGGCCTGGAAGCCGTTCACCCAGGAGTCTCCTCTGCTGCGGCCCGGACTCGCCACGCTCAGCCTAACCATCCGAGTCTGTGAGCAAGGTCTGCTTCTGGGACGGACCCCGAGACACGGACGCAGCAGACTCTCACGTCTGCCAACACGCGTGTCTGCCGGGGCCCCGAGTCTGCCCACCTGGAATGGGAGGACACAGGCCGAGAACCGAGGACGTGGGGTCGAACCTGCTTCCACGCGCTCAGTCCTGCCCTGACTGTTCCTTTTCTAGCCCTTCCGAGTTCTCGTCCACACGGGCCATTGCGTTCTCCTGAGAGTGGCCGGAAGGAGCGGACTTGTGCGCACACACGGACAGAAACATCCCCAGCCGGACAGTCCTTTCGGGAGGGAACCCTTGAGAAACAGGTTTGTACCTGTGGGCGTTTTTGCAAACCTCTCTCTCTCTCTCTCCCTCTCTCTCTCTCTCTCTCTCTCGTTCAGTGCCCTGAAGGCTTCTCCTGGATTTTACCTTCATCACATCCACCTGGTTGCTGTCCCTCGAACTTGATCCCCAAGTACCAGGCTCCCCGCCCCTCCGAGCCACGGACATGGCCACGTGAAGTGGCACCCAACCCCTCTGCCCAGCTCCAGTGTCATTGACAGGAGGTGGTCTTGATCACCAGGCTTAATTCTTAGACACCTGTTTAGGGCACGGGCAGCCTGACCCCAGGGCTGTGCCCCCCTCGGGAGAGCTTGAACACATGCTAGAGGTCCTGGTCCAACGTGGCCGGCGACCCTGTGGAGAGCTCGGGTTATCTGATCGCTTTCCCAAGGCGCCTCGGTGGGAACTTGAGCTTAGCTGAACCTCTGACCACCTGAACCTGGTCTACTGCGGTCTTCCCAGCTACTCAGCTCGAAGGGCAGACGCAGGGGAGCCGGGTGCCACGCTGGTGAACTTCTTCATGACTGTGGTTGTTTCATTCTGTCCAGATTTAGTCTGTTTTGCCAACGTGTCCCTGGCCTTGGACGGCTGTGGTCAGAACACCTTGGCCCGGCGCCCTGCCCAGGTAGCATCTGACCCCAACAAGTCCACAGGACAAGGCTTGTGAGTTCTGTCCTCGGCTGGGTTCCTTCTCCAGACACCCCCGGACTGCATCCATGCTCTACGCGGACCAGGCCCTCACCCCCAGCTGCCGAGCGGCCCGGAGCCGAGTTCCAGCCTCACCGGCTCCCCGCACGGACTCCCTCTGAGGCTCGGAGCGCGCGCCCCTGCCCTGGACTCTGCCCATCCGCCACGTCCCGTGGACAGTGGTCTCCACGCGGGATTTGCTGGGAAAGCAGACGAAGGGAGAAAGTTTTCTGTCCTCTCTCAACGCGCAAGGGACCAGCGGCAAACTGAAGAACATAGTTTATTTTTAATAAACTAGAGGAGCGTGAAAATGTCGTGTCACCTCAGTCACATCCGCACAGGCCCACTCTCTCCCGGGGGGAGGCGGAGGGACGGGCTAGCCCCTTGCCAGGGGCTCCTGATCGAGTGTGGAAACCATTTGTTTAAGGATAGAAAGAGTCAATAAGCCCTTTGGGTGCTTTTGAATGACCCCGCTCCCCTACCCCGCCCCCTCCCGTCCACAAATCAGCGCGAAGCGGCTCACATTGCCTTGGTTTCCATGAAAAAGCCACAAAATGTAACACTGAGGGTTTCTGAGGGCTGGGCCCCTGTGCTTCTGTCGGCAGGACTCCTTTTGTTGTCTTTATACACAGCCGACGACTTGTTTCTCTCTTTATTTTCGCGCAAAGCGAGAGAGAGAGAGAGAAAGAGAGAGAGAGAGAGAGAGAGAGAGAGAGAGTATTGCCCACCGTTGGCCTTGACAAACGTCGGGATGGGTGGACGTTTCTGTCCTGGAGGGACACGGCTGGCGGAGGCCAGAGCTCGCGTCTATTTTAAGGGACACCAGAGCCCCCGCCGTGTGCAGAGGAGTCAGGGTTTTCTTCCTGTTTGCACAGAAGTCACCTCCTTGAGGCAGCTTTCCTGAGTGCGGCCCCCAGGGTGGCTCAGGCGGGGAAGGGGAGGGGGTGGAGGAGGACCCCACCCCCTTGCAACCCAGCAGAGGCCTTTTCATTTGCAAATAAGTACCTCTCCTCTCCGGTTTGTAAACCGCTAGCAAAGCCAAGGCAAACACACGCAGATGTATATTTACCGAAGCTTCTAAACAAAAGTTGCTTCTGGGGGGCTGAATCAACTGCTTCACCACGACTAGTTACTCAACTAGTTACACCAGGGGCTGCTGGCCAGGAGCTCGCCCCGACCGGCCGGCCGCAAACCGAACCCTCTGTCCAGTTGCCTTTGAGTGTAGCACAGCACCCTGAATTTCAGGGTAAACACTTTTTTATCTTTTTCTTTTTCTTTTATTTAAAAAAACAACAACACCCAACCAGCCAACCGACCAAGAAGAGCACCCTGTTTGGCTCTGCCGGCCACCGTACCCTCTGTGGGAAAGTTCCCAGCTCTGCCCCCCGCCCCCCCAGCCGGTTCACACACAGGCGGGAGGCTGGGCAGGGATTTCGCATTTCCCCGGGTACGTTTTCTGGGGGTGCTGGGCCTTTTTGTAAATCCCGCTGTGGGTGATGACGCTGGCTGGTTTCCTCCGGTTCTTCTTCTTGAACCGGCGGCCGCACACGCCGCGCCAGGACTGCAGCGTCTTGGCCGTCCAGATCCACACCCCGCTGGTGATGCCCACCACCAGCAGCATGAAGATCTTCACCAGGAAGATCTCCACGGCGGGGATGGACGCGGCCATCAGGCAGTCCAGGCTCTTGGTCTGGTTGTTCACCCTGCACTTCCGCTGCGTGGCGAGCACCTTCCAGTACTCCATGTTGAGGCGCTCGTAGAAGTAGCAGGCGATCACACAGGTGGCCGGCACGGTGTAGAGCACCGAGAACACCCCGATCCGCACCATGAGCATCTCCAGCTTGTCCGTGTTCTCCCCGCCCGTCTTCATCACCCTCCGGATGTGGAAGAGGGCCACGAAGCCGGAGAGGATGAAGGAGGTGCCGAGGACGAGGTAGCAGGCCAGGGGGATGAGCACGAAGCCGGTGAGCGCGTTCACGTCCATGCTGCCCACGTAGCAGACGCCGGTGAGCTCGTCCCCCGCCACCCTGCGCATCACCAGGATCAGGATGGTCTTCACGGCCGGGATGGCCCAGGCCGCCAGGTGGAAGTAGCTGCTGTTGGCCTCAATGGCCTCGTGGCCCCACTTCTTGCCGGCAGCCAGGAACCAAGTGAGCGTGAGAATCACCCACCAGAGCGAGCTGGCCATGCCGAAGTAATAGAGCACCAGGAAGACGAGGGTGCAGCCGGTGCTCTCCAAGCCCTCCTGGATGACGTAGAGCTGGCCGCTGTCCCGGTCGCAGGCGATGCTCTCGGCTCCTGCGAAGAGGCGGATGATGTAGCCCAGCGAGGACACGCAGTAGCACATGGAGAGGAAGATGATGGGGCGCTCCGGGTAGCGGAAGCGGTCGGGGTCGATGAGGAAGGTGAGCACGGTGAAGGCGCTGGAGAAGAAGCAGAGGACGGACCACACGGCCAGCCAGACCACGGCGAAGCGCTTGTCGTCGCGGCTCCAGTACACGTCCACGCCGGGCGTGCACAGAGGCGCACACGACGCGCTCTTCTCCACGTGGTGGAACTTGCCCGGGTTGGCGCAGCCCGCGCGCCCGGGGCCCCCATCCTTCAGCGGGTGCTCCTGCGCGCCCGGGGGCCGCTGCGGCCGGAAGAGCGGCGGGAACATGCCCGAGCCGCGGGCTGGCTCGTCCGAGCCGTTGTTGGGCGCCTCCATGCACAGGTAGTTGGGGTCGTTCTTGTTGGGGAGTTTGCTGCAGTCCAGCGAGTCGGGCCACTTGAAGTTGAACTGCTCCATGATCGGGGAGCACTTGAGCCGGGCCTGCTCGCACATGACCCGGCAGGCGGGGATGGGGGTGGAGACCTGCTCGGTGCACATGGGCGCGTACAGCGAGCACAGGAAGAAGCGGAGGTGGCCGTGGCAGCCGTACTCCACCAGCGGCGCGAACTCGTGCAGCTGGATGGCGGCCTCGCGCTGGTTCTCGTGGCCCATCAGGTTGGGCATGCGGGTCATGTTGTAGCCGATGTCCTTGCACATCGGGATCTCGACCGGCTGGCACTTGCCGTCCCCCGGGCGCTCCATGTCCATGGAGCTGATGGCGGCGCACGACCCCATCACCTGAAGGACCAGCCACAGGCGGGGACCCGGGCGCTGCATGGTGGTGTCGGACGCGCCTGCTCGGGGAGGTCCGCTCCCCTCAGCGGTGCCGCTCCCGGGCTCGGGCTGCTGGCCCCGGCTCCGAGTCCCGGCCCGGGCCCCCGCCCATGCCCGCCCAGCCTGGCCCTGCTCCCCGCGCCCGGCCTCCGCCGAGGTGGGGCCGCGGAGCAGAGGAGCAAAGTTGGCGAACAATACCGGGAAGCGAAGGGAGCCTCGGAGGCTCGGCGCGGGCTGCGAGTCTCCGCCGGCAAACTTTGGCCTCTTCTGGGGGCGCCCGGGGGGCGCGTCCGGAGCGGGCGGGCGGCGCGGGCACACGGCGGCCGGGCCAGCGCGCCGCGGCTCCTCTCCACCCCCGCGCCGGCCTCGGCCCGGGCCAGCCCGCAGCTGTTTCTGAGGTTTGCGTCCCGGGGTGAGAAGACTCGCAAAGAGGCAAAGGGGGAAAAGCCGAGTGGTGACAGGCCCCGCCCCCGGGCGCGCGCCCCGCCTCCGCCGCTGCTTTGCATAAGAAAGCGGGGCGGCCCCGCCGCCTGCTCCCGCGCCCAGCCGCCGGCTCCGGGCCCCGCGGGGCGCATCGCTGTCCCGCCCGCGTCGCCGCCCGGCTGGGACACCCCGCCTGGCGCCTCCGTCTGTCCTGCCCGCCTCTCCTTCGCCCTCTCTCCGCCGGCCTCCAACTTCGCTCTCGCCGCCTCCCGCCTGCGCCCCCTTTCCGGGGGACCCCTCGGGATGGTCCCCGACACCCCTTGCCTCTCGCCGCCTCCCTCCTGCGCCTCATTTCCCGGCGAACCTCAAGGGCGCCGAGGTTATTAGAAGTTCGGAGACTGGCCGGAGAAGCGGGTGGGGAGCCCGCCGCGGGGGGCTGGGGGCGCATCTTCCCTGGTTTTTATGGTGGGTCCCGGGCAGAGGGCGCTTTCAAAGCGCGGTGGGATTTGCGTTTTATAGCCTTGGCCATAAAGTGGCCCTTTAGCTTGTAAACCTGCCCGCATCGTCCCGAGGCTGGGAGTCGCCAGGCCCGCGCTCGGGGCTCGGGCTCCGGGGAGGGTTTTCCTTTGAACATTTCAAAGCGAAGAGCTGAGGGCCTGGGGGGGAGGGGCTCTGGGAAGCCAGATTTTTAGGGCAGCTCAAGCGAGGTCTCCGCAAAGAAGGAGGGGAGGAGGAGGGGCAGGATGCCTCCTGGGACGCTGTCGTCCCCCCTCCATCCCGGGAAGTGGGGGCTTGGCTTGTATAATGGCGACCCCCGCCCCAACAGAGCCGCGGAGTTGAAGGACCTCGGGCGGGGACAGGGCTGGTGGTTTCTTCTAAGCGGCTGAGTTTATTTATTATAGGAAGTCATTCGCTCTTCGGGTATTTATATCATTTGGCGAGTGATCTGTCCGGCCTGCGCCTTCCTTGGCTACAGACCCGTAAGGTGATTCGGAGTTGGGGGTGAGAAGTGGAGATGCCGCGTCAGCTGGATTCCGGGGTCCTCAGCTCGCTGGGGAGGCGTGCACGCCGCTCAGTTTTCATAGAAAGGGGAGCGAGTGCCCCCCCCCCCCCACTAGGGACAGTTTGTGATAAAGTCACCTAGGACATCACGTCCCGGCCCTGTCCCTGCACAGGGCGTGCGCCCAGCCCTCATCTGCGGAGAATGGCAAAGGCTTCACCTTTCATAGCGCATCATCCCTTAAATAAACAGTACCCCCGGGCGGGGCCACGTCTCTCTCCTTAGACACCCTGGAGGTCGGGATCTTTTTAAGTTCTCCTGAAACTTCCAGGATCTCATTCCCAGGGGGCAGTTGGAGGCTTCGCCCGGTGGGAGGCGAGGTCCTAGGAGGGCCCTGTGCTCTGGGCCTCCTTCCTCTCCCGTTCGCAGGCAGGTTCGCAGGCAGCCCTGGAAAGACGCGCGGGGTGTGCGGACATCTGGGAGGCCGCTGGGCCTCCGGGACGCTGCGGGTTTGGCCCGGCGTCTCTGGGAAACCTCAGGAAGCAGAAGCCACTGCCTGGCCCTCCTGTCAGCTGTGGGTCCCTTCCTCTGAGAAGCCTTTTCTGGGTATTGGCTTTTATTTCAAGCAAATCATAGGATTTTACGTCTTTAAGAAACTTGGGAGACCTTACATATCCACCCTTCCTTCCTTCCTTCCTTCCTTCCTTCCTTCCTTCCTTCCTTCCTTCCTTCCATTTATCCACCCATCCACCCACCCATCCATCCATCCATCCCTTCATCCATCCATCCACCCCTTCATCCATCCATCCATCCATCCCTTCATCCATCCATCCCTTCATCCATCCATCCATCCCCCATCCATCCACCCACCCATCCATCCACCCCTTCATCCATCCATCCCTTCATCCATCCATCCATCCCCCATCCATCCACCCACCCATCCATCCTTCTATCCACCCACCTTTCATCCATCCACCCACTCATCCATCCACCCATCCTTCCATCCATTATCCATCCACCCACCCTTCCTTCCTTCCTTCCATTTATCCACCCATCCACCCGCCTATCCACCCATCCCTTCATCCATCCATCCACCCACCCATCCATCCATCCCTTCATCCACCCACCCATCCACCCATCCCTTCATTCATCCATCCATCCCCATCCATCCACCCACCCATCCATCCATCCTTCATTCATCCATCCATCCCTTCATCCATCTATCCATCCATCCATCCTTCTATCCATCCATCCTTCCATCTACCCACCTTTCATCCATCCACCCACTCATCCTTCCACCCACTCTTCCTTCCTTCCTTCCTTCCTTCCATCCCCCCACCCTTCCACCCATCCGTCCATTTGCCCATTTTTCCTCCCTCCCTCCCTCCCTCCTCCCCACCCCCCTTCCAGCAAACACCAGGAAGACTGAGGCTGGGACCTGCCCAGGATCCCAGAACTAACAGGCAGGTTGGCCTGGGGCCCTGAGTCATTGTCCCTGGATGTTGGGTGTCAGTGTGCGGTGTTGGAGGAAGTGAGGTCCGGAGAAAGTGGGAAAGACGCCCTAAAACCTCAGAACAACCAACCAACAGTGCTGTTATTTCTTGAGTGAAAAATCGCAAGTTTTCAAAGACTTGGTTTTCTTATGAGTTACTTGTTTTTCTTTTCTGTTTGTCTGTTTTAGTCTAGTGAGTGACTTTCAAAACCTCAAATTAAAAAAAAAAGGCTCAGTGGACAGCAGTTGGCTTTTCTAGAGTTTTCCTTGCAAAGGTCCTTCATTGGACACCCCCTCCACCGCCCCATGTTTATTTCTGTTTCTCAGAAACTGTTGGAAAAATCCATGTGCAAGCGTTAGCAGGGGCTGGCAGACACCAGGAGCCGGCGTCGGTGACCTGAGACGTGCCTCCTAATTGATCTTTTATGTGTTGTTTTCATTCAGCCATGTTCAGACCCATTATTTTAGCTATAACCACTTCAGATTGCTTTCTTCTCCCATTTTCAGGGGAAAAAAAAAAAAAAGTGGGCAGAAAAGGCTGCTTTCTGCCCAGCTGAGATGGAAAGCAACAAATAGACATCATCCCAGAGAAAAGCGGACCCTGAGAAATCAGCCAGTGCCAGATAACTCAGCAACTAATAAATGAAAGGGCCCCTTTGATGGCTCCCCCTGAAAAGATATTTTATTTTATTTTATTTTCCTGTGTGTGGGGTTTGAGATGTGCGATTCTAAGGAGCAGCCAGGTCCCCTGCTGCTTACCGGGCTGGCGAGGGCCCCCCTCTGCGAATGTTATGGAGAATTGGGAGGGATTCTATGCCTGTCTCTCCCCTCAGCTTTTCTTTTGTCTTCTTTGAAGAATGACTTTAGACATTTTATTTACATATTTAACCATGGATGAAAGAGGAAAGAGAAAGCATTCGAGGCTCTCGTGGGAATAGTGATATGTTTAAATTAATGGAAATCTTATTAGGCCCCTACAATTCTGAGCAAAGGTTTTTAATGAAACTTTACAATTAAACATGATTTCGCATAACGTTCAGGGACGGGCTATTTCTTCCGCCACCTGAAAATGGAACATTCTACTCTTAAACGTTTGCTGCCTTCAAGTTCGTGAAATTGTGCTGTGGGAAAAGTATGAGGTTTTTAAAAGGGAGTGTTTGGGGAGTCGGGAGGGATTGGAGGAGAACTCGGTTGTTCTTGGACGGAAGCGACTTGCAAGGGGCGGAGTCTCACCCACTCCTGCAAAGTCAGGAGCATGAAAGACTTGACATGGATGTTGCTGGGAACCAGAGTGGGAGCCCCTCCTGTGATGTCACAGTCAGTGGTTCTGTGAAACGAGATTAGAGGAAGCCCACGTCACCTCCTGAATAAAAACGTACTGACACTTTCAGCCACGGAGAGAGACGAAACCTTCAGATTTAGCGTGTTCCACGCGAATGGCAAGAGCCCATGTGTGGGGCTATCAGCGAGGCTTAAAAACAAGACACAAGCCGGTGTCGGTAACGTTTAAGATACAAAGCGGTTCAGGTTAGGTTTGCGCTGCTCCGGAACCCTGCAGTTCTGCTGGCCCGGTGCGGCGAGTACTGGGCGTCTTCTTTCATCGTCCACCCTCATCAATATTTGTATTCCGTGGGGGGCATGCCCAATCCTCCAGGAAGAATGAAATGTGATCTATTTCCTAAGAGGCAACGGGGTCTCTGGTGCCAACAGGCAGTGTGTACCCTGACCCCAGCTTGTGTTACGTTTCTGCAGAAAGCTGTTATCAGATTTAAAAAAAAAAAAGCATGGAAAATTCTATTTTCTCACCAAGGAGGCATGCCCCTCCCCCCGCCCCTCCCAGGAAAATACCTCTGGCCCTCTGACGTGAGGCTGGGGACGGAAAACACCCGGGAGCACCGGGGACCCAACCCAAGTGGCAGCACACTCAACAGGCACAAAAGTTTTCCCTGCGCCCGAACCCAGGAGCCGGGAGGCCGGTGGAGGGAGGGTGGGGGCTACAGAAAGAGCTCGGGCATCCGCGGCTGGTGCCTGCAGGGACTGTTCCTCCAGTACAATTTAGGCAGCTCCTTTAAGGCCACTTCCCTTGAAGCGGGTTTGAAATATTACTAAAGGTTCCACGGGGTGCCTCCGTGTGAATTG